AAGAACATTTAAACAGCAACTGAATGAAGAAGTCAGGTAAAAATCCCTTAAGCCAATACTCAACTCATTTACTCCTCACGATAACCGAAATCGTAATTATACCGCTGCAGCGTGCAGCCCGATCCATATAGTATACTGCTGCGGCGTGCAGCCCGATCTATATATATATATATATAGCCCGATCCAATAATAATAGTCGACTGCGCTCACTGGGGGTGCAGACTCCGGAGGGGCTCCTACAGCCCAAGCGCTATACTACTGCGGCGTGCAGTCCGATCCATATGAATGTACTGTTGCGACGCGCAGCCCGATCCAATAATATACTGCTGCGGCGTGCAGCCCGATCTATATAAATATATACTGCTGCGGCGTGCAGCCCGATCCATAACATATCAAATACCCTCACTATGGGGTTCTCAACCCCTCTCAGTCACTATAACTTAGCCTCTCGGGCATACTAAGATAAGATAGGGATCTCAGCCCACATATTACTCTCCTTTTGGTTTAGTTATTCCAAAGCCAGTTCATATTAGATTAAACAGTTAGAAACATGACTGAGGGTATGATTTTTACGAGTAAAGTGAGGTCAATCATATACAATTACCCCTAAGGATTCTACAGGTCGGCACAAGGCCTCAAACATGGCAACTAGCCCAAACTATAATGATATAATTTAAGTCTCAGTCAAAAACACAGTAGAATCATCAATCGGGATGGACCAAGTCCAAATCCCCAGCAGTAATGGACCCCACGCTCATCATGCAGCGTGTGTCTCACCTCAACGTAGCACTATGTTGTGCAAATCCAGGGTTTCGAACCCTCAGGACATCATTTATAACTATTACTCACCTCAAGCCGGCCAAAATCCTAGCTCGCTATGCCCTTGCCTCGCAAATCAACCTCCTCGCGCGTCGAATCTGGCCAAAACCACAACGAATACGTTACAATAGGCTAAGGGAATATAACCCAATCGAAAAGACTCGAAAAACATCGAAATTCACGAAGATGGCAAAACCCGATCCCTGGGTCCACTTCTCGAAAAATCAGAAAATTAACATCACCGGATTCCTTATCTCGCCACGAGTCTATACATATCAAATTTACCAAAATCGGAGTCCATTTGACCCCTCAAATTCCACTTTGAAATACCAAATTTCCAAGCCCTAGCTTTACCCTCTTTTTGATGAATTTCCACAATTTCCATGTAAATTCTACCATTAATTCATGTATTTAGGCCAAGGAACTCACCTTCAATCACACCTAGTCGAAATCCCCTTCAAATTCTGTCCAAGAGCTCTCAAGGTTGCTTAAAAATGGTGGAAATGGACTTAAGCTCGCGGAACAAATGAACTCTAAAAACCCTTCTGATAATAGGGATTTTCGCATCTGCGGTCCCATTACCGCATTTGCGTCTACCGCTTCTGCGGTCGGATTTCCGCTTCTGCGGATCCTCATTTAAAACCCACGACCGCATCTGCGGTCCTCTACCGCATATGCGGACCTCGCCTCTGCGGATGGTTGTCCGCTTTTGCGGAAATGCCAAATCCACACCCTTCCGCTTCTGCGACACATCTACCGCATCTGCGGCACCGCAGATGCAGCTCCAAGCCCGCACCTGCGGAGACAGCCCCTTACCTCAAAACTCGCACCTGCGACCAACCACTCACATCTGCGGAACCGCATATGCGGCCCATATTCCGCAGATGCGGAAACACCTGATACCAGCAAAAACCTGCAATTCACCAAGGTTCAAAACTCCCCGATAGCCATCCGAAATCATCCCGTGGCCCCCGGGACCTCAACCAAAAACACAAACATAATCCAACACCTTATTGAAACTTGCTCGAATCATCAAAACACCACAAATAACACCTAAACCATCAAATTACATCAAATCCAAGCCTAAGTTCATTCAAATCTTCCGAAACTCGCATTCGATCAAAAACCCAACCAAAACACCTCCGAATGATCTGAAATTTTTGCACACACATCCAAAATCACCTAACGAAGCTATAGCAACTCTCGAAATTCCATTCCGACCCTCGGATCAAAATCTCACCTACCAACCAGAATTCGCCAAAATACTAACTTCGCCAATTCAAGCCTAATTCTACACCGGACCTCCAAAATCAATTCCGATCACACTCCTAAGTCACAAATCATCCCCCGAAGCTAACCAAAATATCGGAAATCACATCCGAGCCCTCTAACTCATAGGTCAACATCCGGTTGACTTTTCCAAAACAAGCCTTCCTTAAAGAGAGTAAGTGTCTCATTTCCTACCAAAACCAATCCAAATCAACTCGATCACATCAAATACCGACAATGAAGCATAGAGAAACATAAGATGGGGGAAACGGAGCGGTAACTCACGTGACGACGGGCCGGGTCGTCACAGTGGTTCACATGATAGGTGAATGGGCCCATATTCACCTTTTATATACTTCAGAATCAGGGTCTTAGTCCCAACTTTAGCTGGTATAATTAATTTATTATGAGAACAAGCAACACAGGAGAATTCTTGAAGAATCTTCTAGTTCTTCAGTATATGCTTATCTGAATTCTCAAATAGCTCATTTAAAAATGGCAAATGAAAACTTCAAGTTTATCATGGCATGTGCTATCTCTTAGTAAACTTCTAGTTTACTATGATATAAACTCTTGCATTAGTAAACTTCTTATTTACTATGGCTACTTTTGTATTAGCAAATTTCTGGTTTACTGCAGCTACCTTTGCCTCGGTAAAACTTCTGATTTACTGTGATTGCTTTTGCATTAGTAAATTTCTTGTTTCCCGTGATACATGATGTAATACAACTTGAAGAATAAGGCGGGTAACTCACAAACGTATTATTTTACCTCCTATGATTGTGGAAACATAAAGATTTTCAATCTTCCAATCATTTATAGCCTCAATATGATAGCCATTCATTTTAGTAAACTTCTGGTTTACTACAATATATATATATATTTGACTATAATCATATAATATGAATGACATATTTGTATATAAGCTCTTCGAGCCTTCATTTATTATCCACAATTTAATATTTATCGGACACTACTGGTGCCATGTGTCTTCTAGACAAACAGTTAGCTCTTCAGGAGTTGTTGATACATTTTGGACTATCAAATATTGCTCAGACACTTCTGGTATCATGAGAGAAAATCATAATCAAATGAAAAATATAGATCCAATTCTAAATTTATACATGACAAAAATTAAGAATTTTAATATTTTTACCACTAACTTTGTGACAAATATCTCCTTCAAGGAGAAATACTATTAACATCTGAATATTTTGTATCAATCCGGCAACCACATAGTCATTGCATCATTTAAGGAAAGATACACGAGTTGTTATTTCCTTCGGGGAACTCAATTACTAACCATAATATATTAATGTGGTTGTAGTAGAAAGCATTCTACAAGAATGCTTTTGCCTTAGAATGATAAAATTATCCAAGATATTTTACGTACAACAGGTATGTGCGGTAATGATCTTTGTGCCACAAAAATAATATTTATATCCTCTGTTATTCTAGCTCTTCAGGAGGTGAGTTATGGTATTTTTTTCATTCACACCAGAGAATGAAAATGTGCTTCAAAAATAACTTTGGATAGCTCATTATTTTATTTAAGCACAGAAAGACATAGTTTCATAATATTTTCCTGCTTCAGGAGAAAAATTCAATTGTGTTACTTCTTCAGGAGCAAATTTAAAATACATAAAATTGAGTATATATTATCTCAATCATATTACCTCTTCTGGAGGTGAATTGTAATATATTTATATCAAAAGCGCGTTCATATTTACGAGCTTTATTAATAGTGTCACATTCACTTCAGGGAATGGATTAATATTTATCAAAAGTTCTTATCCTTCAGGGAACGGAACATAATTATCTGAACGTGCATTAATCACACCAAATCGTGTGATGGCTTAGAACCTCTTTTAAGATAATGCTACTTTAGGAGCAAATCGAGGCATGCAAGTAATATAGAGAAATTTTCTCTAACTTATCTTCAAGTGTAACCATAGAAAACCTAAATTATCACTTCTGGTGGTCATAGGCATATACCACTTCTGGTGGTTAACAAAATTTATTTACAATGAGATATACGAAACATAACACCTTCTGGTGGTTGTATTTTACTTTCAAACTCAACCAGAGTTGCAAGCAAACTTATTGTCTTTGCTCGCCTTTAGAATCAAGTTATAGGACTTCAATATAAGGTAAAAACCTTACCTGATAAGCATGAAATGCTTTTAAAGTGGTGCTTGTGTTTTATACATGGTAGACGATGAGGTTCATGAAATCATCGTAACCAAGAGCGTGACTTTAGTTGGAACACATATCTTCAACCGGGAGGGACGTTACTGCCAGCATCTCAACACCTCAGTTGGTTAGAACTTACTTAATTTTAAAGCTCCACTATTCACCTGAGATAGGAAAATCAAATTCAAAGTAAGTGCTCAAAATGGCAGAGTCTCGTGCTGATAACGTGTTATAAAATAAAGACTTTAAAGTAAAGAAACCGAAGACAAGTAGAGAGAGAGAGATTTATTATTCAACTTCAAATTCATGTATATAATGAACTGAAACCTCCTCTACTTATAGAAGAAAGGAAGCTGCTGTGTAAGCTGCTACTACAAGCTGCTGTGTAAGCTACTTGTAAGTTACTTGTAAGTTGTTACTATATCAGATATAGATAATCTTCTACGGGGGTTAATATTTATCCATAACGGAGTACCGAAATGATAAGCTTCTTCAAGAGGCTTATTTCCAATAGAGTACCAAATAGATAAATATATTTACGGCAGATTCTCATATGGATAAGCTTCTTCGGGAAGCTTATTTACAACGGAGTACTAAATAAACATCCATAATATAATATATATTTATAACAGACCAAATTCCCTATTAATTGTAACCAAATTCTCTCTCTCTTTCATCACTGTCACCACTTTCTTTCTATTCTTCTACTGTCTGCTTCTTCTGTTTCTTTCTTTTTACATTCCTTCTTAGAACTCAGGAAAAAAAACAAATATGGCGCCACCTGGCTCATTTGGAAACAACATCACTGTTGATTCATTTGAGGCTTTTCTTCAAGGCTGGTTATTACGCCAAGAACAATTCTTGAATGAACTTATAATAGCACAAAACACATATGATGAATCACAAGAGGGTATTATTAAAAACCTTATTTCTGGTGTCCTAGCTCATTATCAAGAATACTTTGAAGAAAAATCAAGAATGTCTCATAGAAATGTATTCAATGTGTTTTCTCCTGCATGGTTTACTCCATTAGAAAAAAGTAACTTATGGATTGCAGGGTTTAAACCGGGATTAGCTTTTTCCTTGGTAATGAATTCTGTAGATGATTTGAGTCAAAATCAAGTCGAGAAAATTAATAGGCTGAAATTTGAAACAAGGGTTCAAGAAAAGAATCTTATGGATGAGTTGGCCAAAATTCAAGAAAGTGTGGCAGCCCCTCCATTTATGGGACTAGCACAACAGTTCGGAGCTGAACTCCTGAGAGGTATTGAATTGACTATCTCATCTAGAAGTTTAAATATTTAGAGCCCGTTTGGCTTAGCTGATTTAGAATAGCTGATAAGCAATAGGTGATGAAAAGCACTTTTAAGTGCTGAAGCTCATTTAAAAAATAAGCAGTTATGTGTTTGGATAAAAGTGCTGAAATTAATAATATGTAGCTGAAGAACTGGATATACGAAGAGTTTTGTTTTAAAAAGAAGTATTTTAGGGATAGAATAGTAAATATTTTGGTCAAACTTAAAGTGCTTATAAGCTAAAATTTGATAAGTTGGGGGAGACCAACTTATGGCTTTTGGCTTATTTTTGGCTTATAAGCACTTAATTTATAAACACTTTTAATTTTACCAAACGCGTAGATAAGCCAAAAAGTGCTTATAAGCCAGTTTGACCAGCTTATAAGCTTAGCCAAACACCCTCTTAGATAAAATATACTTTTTGTTATTCACTTTGACTTTGGTCCTTTTTAAGTATTGTTACATCCAAACAAATTTGGTTGAAAATAAGTATTGTCTTAAGAAACCAAGAAGATATTAACTGTTTTTTAAATATATTTTTGCTTCAGTGATTTATACAATCTTTTTAAAAATTATTTCAATAATTATTTATTATTCTAAGAACATATAAAAGATAATTTAGTCAAATAACGCTTATGATTTATGTCATCAAGTGATTTTCTTAATAAGTCTGCCAAATCCTTAAGCGACATTTCAAAAGTAGTTTAGGGAGTACTTAATAATGTTATGTATGATGTATCAACACGTTCATCACGTGTGAGCCTGATTTCCTTTTCATGTACCAAACGTGTGAAAATATTGTTTTGCTTGTTGGATGATCCTAAGGTTTGAACCTAGGACATTTTGTCCACTCTAATTTCATGTTGTAATGCGCGATCATTTTATTTAAAAATTTAAGTTATTAAAGAGAGTCATCTTAATTATTTAATTAAATTATGTCATAACAGGGGATGGTGGAGAAATAAGAGAAGTGGATGAAAATATAGAGATACTAAGATCAGCTCTAGAGGATGTGATAATGGATGCAGATAGATTAAGGACAACAACAGCAGAGAGGGTGGTGGGGATATTAAATCCTTTCCAGAGTTTGAAGTTTTTGACAGCTGCAGCACAACTTACAGTTGAGAATAAGAATGTTGGGAATGCAGAGAGAAGCAGAGAGGCAACAAATGCAAACTTCAGTTGGTCGGTAGATTTTCAGTTCACTTTTTTTTGGGGTAATTTTGAAGACTGAATCATGATAAGTTAGAGGTTTTGTGTTGGTTTTGAGACTTATTTGATAATATTTGTAAGATAAAGCTTTTTTTTTGTTATATCAATATTAGGCTTATTTTGTAACAATACGCTATGTTTCACGAACTTTTCAAATATTGCTAGGTTCGTGTTGACTTCTCGAAAAATAATATATTTTTGAAGAATTCAGCACGAATGCAAACAGTTTTAAAAAGTTCAAGCACTATAAATAGGTAATGCTCGGGTAAATGTTTTACCATCTTGCTTTTATAAGAGGTTACTTTCTTCTTTTATCTATGGGATTGTGTTTTAATGGGCTCTATTGTCTTTTCCTTAAGAGTTTTTACCTTGTTGCTTTTATTAGATGTGAATTTTTTGTAGTCATTGGATTGTGTTTTAACTGCCTCTACGTAGCTTGTCTTTTTCCTAGTAGCATCACTGACAGGACAAGAGGAGTATTTGTTTGAGGCACACCTCATAAATACTCCAAGTTTATCTTTACCAATTTATTTTTTTGAGACGCAGCCTTTCTCGAGACCCTATATATATATATATATATATAAATGCGGCCTTTTTCGAAGTCCTGTATGTATAAGTGCGTCTTTTCTTGATCATGTATATATAAACGCGACCTTTCCTGGGATGTTGTATATATAAATGCGTCTTTTCTTGATCATGTATATATAAACGCGACCTTTCCTGGGACGCTCTATATATGAACGTGAAGTGCTTACGAGTGAATTGAACAAGTCATGCAAGGGGAGAGCCGGAGCGGCGAATATAGGAGTTAACTTTTTTTTTTTTTGGCTTTTCACTCGGTGTCCAGTACCCGCATTAGAGCCCGATTATATTCGGATTCGTGCTGTGTAGGATCTCATTCGAGGAGAACCGCTCCCTGCCAAGGAGTTAACTGCATTTGCCAATTAAAGAACTCATGATTTTAGGATAAGTAAACAATATAGTGATGGACCATAAACAAATCATTGTCTTTTCTTCTAAGCTATGCTAGTTTTATATCATTAAATTAACATATGATGCCCTTTGTCCTTGGATTTTTCTTACTTTGCAGGATATATTTGACTAAATCCACGCGTCATTCAAATAAGCAGGGATAAATTGGTACATTAAAATAATTTTGTTGGACATATACTAAGACCGCTAACCTTCATGGATAAATCTAAAAATCTTGCTATCAGTATTGCGCTCCTCCCCCTTTTTTGTCAGTATTTTCTACGACAATAACGATTATGTCGGTGTAAACTTGCTCATATTGTTAGTTTCAAGTTTGGAGTTAAGCTTGTGTGGATTTGCTTTTATTCTCGATTCCAAATCCGGATAAGGAGCAGGTGCAGTGGAATAAATGAACAACAAATATAAAACTAGTCAATTCATCATGAATTCTCATACTTGTCAAATTCATAATGAATTCTCGTGTTAATGTTGATTGTTTAAAAATATAAAAAATAGGACACATCCTATTTAGACTTCCTTCTAACAGTGGAGTCTCAAATGAATATTACTGTCTTTTCTCTCTTTCAAGAGTAGTTACAAAACATAATGTGACGACCCAAAGGGTCATCACCTATATTCCTACTCCTTTTATACTTCTGAGGCCCTAAAAACCTTATTTGGGGTTGCCTCGAGTTGTGTGCGCAGTCCGGGCGCGTAGCCGGAAAAGTTTAAATATGAAATCTGTGAGAAAAATTGTTAAATCTTGGTATTTAATTGATTAAGTTTGACTTCGGTCAACGTTTTTGGCAAACGGAGCCGGACCCGTGATTTGACGGTCCCGGAGGGTCCGTAGGAAAATATGAGACTTGGGGGTGTGCCCGGAATCAAATTCCGAGGTCCCGAGTCCGAGGAATGAATTTTTACGTGAAATTGTTTTCTGAAAATAATAAAAGAATTGGAAAGTGTTATTTGTTTAGAAGACTGTGCTGTTGGGCTCGTATTTTGGTTCCGACGCCCGGCACAAGTCTTAAATATGAGTTAAACAATTGCTGTGAAGTTTGGTTAGATTTGGACGTCATTCGACGTGTTTTGAGCTAGAAGCAGTAAATTTGATGTTTCATGGAAATTGGAAGGAATCATGGGTCTTGAGGCCTAATTCGACGTTGTTTTGGCGATTTGATCGCACGGACGAGTACGTAGGATGTCTTTGAGTTTATATGTATGTTCGGTTTGGAGCCCCGAGGGCTCGGGTGAGTTTTGAGTAGGTCCCGGGAGGTCTTAGGCTTAAAAATAGCAGATGGTTGCAGGTTCAGGGGTTGCAGGCCCCCAGCGCGGCCGCGGTCATTTCCGCGTGGTCCGCGCTGGAAGCCGCGCGGCCGCGGTGCATTTCTGCGCGGTCCTCGTGGCTAGGTTCAGAGGGCCAGTGAATTCTAGGTCAACCAGCGCGGCCGCGCACCAAATCAGTGTGGTCCGCGCTGGGTAGGTTCAGAGAGTCATTTTTCTTCCTTTCCTCGGCGCGGCCGCGGTGCATTTTTGTGCGGTCCGCGCGAGTCTTCAGCACAGTATATAAAGTCGGGATTTTCAGTCATTTTTTATTTTTTTTCAAAATCCAAAACATAAGAGGCGTTTTTCCAAACTATTCCACTTCTTCAAAACGATTGGTAAGTGATTTCTAACTGATTTTCTAAACTCCCTAACATCCTTAAACATAATTTCAACTTTAAAACAAAGATTTTAATGGGGAAATTGGGAATTTAGGGTAGAACCTAGGTTTTCTAAAATTTGGGTGTTTTGGACCTCAATTCGAGGTCCGATTCCAAAATAACTTACCTATTTGAGTTCATGGGGGAATGGGTAATCGGGTTTTGGTTCGAACCTCGGGTTTTGACCATGTGGGCCCGGGGGCATTTTTGACCTTTTGGGGTAAATTGATGAAAAAGCTATAATTAGTCATTGGGTTTGATTTGTTTAGCACATATTGATATCATGAAGTCCTTATTGCATAGATTTGGTTGAGTTGGAGCCGAATTTGAGAGGGAAAGCGGTTGTGGAGGATTGTATTGGCCGCGGAAGTTGAGGTAAGTGTTTGGTTTAACCCTAGCTTGAGGGAATAGGAGTCGAGTCTTGTTTGCTAATTGCTAAATGATCGAGTACGATGTATAGGCATGGTGACGAGTTCCTATACATTGGGGTCTAGCATGACCGTGAGTTCTTATATGTGGGTTGTTTGGATATTGTTATGCCTTCCATGCTTATTCGATGGCTTCTATGCGTTGTAAACACCTTGTGAAAGATATTGTGATTGTGGAACTTCGTGGAGCATTGGCTCGGTCTGAAATACAAATGGTGAGAGCATATGAAATGAGAAATGCCTCGGAGCTTGACACGAGTGCTAATGAGAGCTAGGATATGAAAATGGAAGAAAAAGAGAAATAACGATTTGCTCTTGCATGGCTGTTATTGGTTGTTTGTGTACCCTTGTTGGGATTTCCTTCCAAATACCTGTTCACTCCCTGCCTTTTATTTGTGACTGTTGTTTGGGCAAGGTTGAGAGGTAGGCATTGTGGATCGGGTTGCACGCCGCAACAGTGATAATTGTGGATCGGGTTGCACACCGCAACAGTGATAATTGTGGATCGGGTTGCACGCCGCAACAGTGATAATTGTGGATCGGGTTGCACGCCGCAACAGTGTTGAAATGTATTAGGGCCGGGTTGCGCGCCGCAACAGTTATTGATGCAAATGTGTGTAGTGTTGATATTAGTTTTCTTGTTCGCCTTAAATTTTAAATTGCACCTAGATTGATTGCTTTGGATTTACTGTTAATATTGTTATCTCCCCACAGCATGTTTCCCCTCCCATACTGTTAGTTGCCTTGTACTTCGATTTCTGCTGTATATTTATAATTGCACAGATTTATGTGAGGTCCAGTCTAGACTCGTCACTACTTCGCCGGGGTTAGGCTAGGCACTTACCAGCACATGGGGTCAGTTGTGCTGATGCTACACTCTGTGCATTTTTGCACAGGTCCAGGTATTGAGCAGCAGCAGCAGCATTAGCACGGGGCCGAACCTTCAGTCCAGAGAGACACGAGGTAGCTTGCAGGCGTCCGCAGGCCCGGCGTCTCCCTTCTATCTTTACATTTGGCTGTCATCTCATTGTACCCGAGATAAACAGATTATGTTTCTTTCAGACTTTGTATGTAGTACTCCTTAGATGTTTGTGAGTATGTGACACCAGTCCCGGGGTAGAGACGTATGTTGGAATTTCTGTATTTTATTCAGTTATATAATTTAAGTCTTCCGCTAATGATTTAATTCCGTCGCCTTTATCTAATGCCGTTAATTGTTAAAAAGGAACATGTGTTTAATGAATTTGTTAATTAAGTTGGCTTGCCTAGCTCCTATTAGTAGGCGCCATCACGACCCTCGAGGGTGGGAAATCCGGGTCGTGACAAGTTGGTATCAGAGCTCTAGGTTACATAGGTCTCACAACTCACGGACAAGCTTAGTAGAGTCTGAGGGATCGGTACAGAGACGTCTGTGCTTATCCCCCAGAGGCTGCCAAGTTAGGAAAAATCTCTCCTTTGTTCTTTCTTGTCGTGCGGTTTGGTTTCTCAATGCTAATTGGACTTCTACTCTGTTTCCTCGCAGAATGGCGAGAACACGCGCTTCCTCATCTTCAGACCAGCAGTCCGAGACCCAGGCAGCTCCCGCTAGGGGCAGAGGACGAGGCCGTGCTAGAGGCCGAGGTAGGGGCAGAGCTCAGCCCCGAGCAGCAGCACCAGCGGCGGATCCCCAGGTCGATTTTGACGAGGAGGTTCCGGCCCCAGTCCCAGCAGCGCCAGTGGGCCCAGCTCAGGTCCTAGAGGGGTTTATAGACACCCCAGTTCTTCAGGACGCTTTGGTCAGATTGGTAGGCTTTGTGGAGAGCGTCACTAGAGCGGGTTTGCTTCCAGTAGCACCAGCCACTTCTCAGGCTGGAGGAGGAGTTCAGACTCCTGCTACACGTACTCCGGAGCAGGTAGCTCCCCAGGCTCAGGTTCCAGTGGTTCAGCCAGCTGTGACAGCTCAGCCGGGT